GTGTGTGTGTGTGTGTGTGTGTGTGTGTGTGTGTGTGTGTGTGTGTGAGAGACCTGAGGTTGAGAGACATTCTTAGTCAAGCTGAAAGACTGAGGAACCGAGGAAGAGGGAAAAACAATCAAATTATTATCTGTTGATGAAAAAAATGTAAAGATGTTGCCCTCTTAAGATGGAATGTTTTGTTTAAAAGCGATGTAAAAGAATGCAAAGGACGATTTACAATTTTGCTCCCCCCTGTTATCAGGGAGAGGTCAAAACTGAGTCCTTGAGTAAAGCTTTAGGAGAGCTGCAGGATCAGATCTGGGGCCTGTACCCTTACTGGGGTAGACCACTATGGTAACTTGTGCTAAGATTTATAATATCAATGCCCCATCTAGAGCAAGATAGATCTGACTATAATGTGTGTTTTCCGTTGAATTAATGTGTTGCAGAAACAGTGTTACTTTTAGTCTGAAATAAATCCTTTTCTTCTAATATTTGTCTAATATTATAGTTTTCTCTTCGAGTTGTTCGAGTTAGTTAAGCCAGATAACCAAAAGATACCCAGGGTACGTTGAGCTTGCTTGGAAGTACAGGCCCCTGGTCTCATGTGTATCATATTGGTCTGTGTTTGACAGAGGATCCCAATCTGGAAAAGCAGGACACCTTTGTGGAGAAGCTTGTCACTCAGGTCATTAAAAACCTGCAGGTCAAGATCTCTAACATCCACGTACGCTACGAAGATGATGTGAGTATTCAGGCTGAGTTACCTCAAGGGTGTGTGTATGTACAGCATAATCTCAATTTTGTGTTTGTAAATTAAACAAACTGAAAAACGCAGGTACCAAGACAGCATTAATCATGCAGAGTACATACAACCTTAACCAGGCTAGCTCTTATTTGATTTCTCTTGTTTGTTTTCCACAGGTCACTAATCCAAATTGTCCCTTGTCATTTGGAGTGTCACTTAAAAACCTCAGTCTTCAGGTAATGCGTCGCAATGTCCCTCCTGTCACATTATATTCTATGTTACATTCAGCAAATTTATACATCAAACTCAAACATCATTTAATAACATATGCATACAAATACATTTAATGTAATCTCATGAACTCTCTATATTTCACTGCTTGTTTTATCTTTCCAGACGTGTGATGAGAACTGGAATCCAAGACTTTTGGATGAGAATTCCCGGCTCTTCTTCAAGGTAACCATCAGCCATACCTGCACTTTATAACCGATACATTCATTGTCATTTTTCATTACCTTTTGAAAGCTTTTTGGGCAATTTGAGCCAGTTTGTTCGATTTGTCGGCCGTTGTTCAAGGAACCAGTTTTATTTTCGAACTGATTGCACACTGTTAGTAAAGTTACGTCATCATGGTAAGCATCTGCACTTCTCTAATTGCTTAGTGTTTTCTTCTTTCTCTCAGTTGGTTCAACTAGACAACTTATTTGCCTACTGGAATGTCAACTCTTTACTCTTCTCCAATCACAGTCCAGATGAGGCCTTGGTGAGTCTCCCTATTATTACAGTATTTAATTCTGCTTTTTTCTTTTATCTTTTTTTCCAAGTCTTCTGCAAATGCTTCTGAGATCAATGAATATTTTGCTAACCATTCATCTCATCCACATGGACTCTTTCTCCAATAAGCCTAATGCCTACAATGTTTTTAAATGTGGTGTTGTGATTGTCTACTCCCGCATGTTGTTAAAGCAGTAGCAAAAAGAGATGAAATATGTTCAGAGGTTAAGAAAATGAGTAAAGAAAGCAGGTAAAATGTAAATGAAGCCCCTCTCCCTCTGTTTGTTTTGTAGCAATGTCTCCAGAGCAGCGTGGATATCCACAACTCCCTTTCTGTCAGCCACGACTTCAGTGAGTGTCTTACTGTTATCCTTAATTCACATGTTTTATACTTTTTGTATAACTTAAGGACTTGTTGTCTAGACTGCCTGATGAAAAAAGCCACATTTTTGCTCTGACAGTGCAGCGCCTGGAAAAGAAATGTGTGAATCACACAGCTTGGTGCACCGTCACCAACAACACATTGTAACAGATTTTTAGCACATTTTAACAGATTTTTGTTTTGAGGCACAAGCTCACAGATTTTTGAAGGGCTAACTTTGTTACACAAAATATATTCACAATTTTCACATCCCACAAATGTGTATATACTGTATATTTACCAATACAAAGTAACATAAAGCCATGGACAACCCCAAGGTTCATTCTGTAAAGGTTAACAATTTTAAAGTTTTAAATCTAGGGTTGGTAGTCTTGAGAAAGAGTAGGCTAGATTTTCTTAAATTGTTCAACTGAAAAACCCAGCACAGTTTTTCCATCTCTTCACCAATGGAAGTAGCTAGCAGCACCCGCTCCAAGAGTCGCTAAATCTAGCGAGAAAGTCGGCAATTCGGCAACCCTGACAGCCCGTTCCTTCAGAATTCCCTCCATAGCCACTCCCCCAAAATTAGCATTGTAAAAGGTAAACAATGGACATGGCTATTGTTAGTACTCACAGCTGTTAAGCTAGCAGCTTGTGTCCGCTGACAATCAGTGAGCGCACAGGCAAAGGTCAACAGGCAGGTAACCCGTCCAATCATTTCATTAGCTCAGTACAGTCCTGAGGTAATCACAGATACACATTCTTTTCTTCTTCTTTTTTTTTTTTTTTTTTTAGAGCATTTTATTTATTGATTGCTGTCTGGATGCAATGAGAATTTCAACAAATATAACAAAAAATGTTTTTGAAGAAATTTACCAACCCCAGCTTTAAATGATCCATTCCTTGTTGCCGGTCCACAGTTTTTCGTCCTATCTCAGCCGGCGCTAAACTGCGGATGAATCCCAAGTCGGATGTGGACTTCTCTTCACCCAAAGTGGACCTTATGGTCAATCTCAGTGAGGTGGCCTTTGAGCTCAACAGACCCCAGGTAGGTGTTGTTTTATAAACTTGTTTATTTAAACGCCCGGTGGAAACAAAGTTGTTTTTGGGAAGATAGAGGAAAAGAAACAGAGAAGTAAAAGACAACCACGGTGGGAGAATTTAATCGAAAATTGAAAAAGAAATAGTTAAAGCGGTTGTTCAGCGATCTTAACTGCACTCTTGCCAGTGAGTAATTGCTTACTTCCTCTCTTTCCAGTACATTAGCATCCTGGAGCTGCTGGGCTCAGTGGATATGATGTCTCGGAATCTGCCGTACAGGAAGTACAGACCGATGGTCCACGTTAACAAGAATGCCCACATTTGGTCAGAAAACACTTTGTAATTTGATTAAGAATTGCTATGATGTTTGATATTTTACCAACCTTGCATGTGTTTATCCTTAATATTTCAGAGTGTGGATTTGACTGTATGCTTCTGTGTTCATGCCTTGCAGGTGGAGGTACGTGATCACAGGCATCCTGGAAGTGGATGTGAAGCCTCGTCTCCACATGTGGTCATGGCAGCGCATTCGCAGTCACCGGCAGACGGTGAAATATTACCGAGAGCTCTACAAGACCAAAATCACCAACAAGAAACCCAGCGAGGAGCTGCTCAAGGCACTAGAGGTGGGACAGGGCGGAACCGAGAGGACGGAGATGTGTAGTGTCCCCGTTTATCTTTTAAGATCCTAATATTTGAACCACTGACGAGCTTCCTATGATATTAGGAGAATGTCGCCAGGTTCTTGATAAATTTAGGTCTTGAAATATTAGAACAAATGTCTCCTCATCTGACTTCCTCTCCTGTATTACGATGCATTGATTTAAAATAGATAGATAGATACTTTAATAATCCCGCAAGGGGAAATTTGTTCAAATAGATAAAATGGTTACATTGCTTTCATAGACCAACATTATTTTTAATTCTGTTGGTAATGCCTCACCCACACATCCATTATGTTTTACATATTTTTGATTTGTTCACAAATGCTTTGACAGATCCTGTATCTACCATGCCATTAAGGTCTATTTGAGGATTTGAGTGTAGTTAAGGAAGGGTAGGAAGGTTAAAAGTATTGCTTACTTTTTTATTTAACATCTCAGCCAATCTGTCCGAAATATAATTGTGATTTGATAGTTCCGGTCCTTATTTGTGTAACTTTTGCCTCACTAAAGCAGACCTGCTGATGCTGCTCGATTGTACACTGGCAAATACCCACAGTACTTAACTACAGAGTCCACAATTCATTGCCTATAGGAAATGTGAATGTAATATAATATTCAAGTAGTTAATTACAAAGATATTACCTTCTCAATATCCTTTCAGTGATGCTTTACTCCAGCCATAATTGCCCACGAATCCAGTGCCTATAAAGGGATTGATTGAAGTGCGTTTGAGATTGATTATATACCTCAGAAGAAATACAACATTAAATCTAAATGTCTTTTCCTCTGCCACTTCTCTTTTCTGGAAGCATCATCTTTTCCTTTCCTGTGATTAGTAATGGACATTTAGTAACTGATGCATTCCTGCATAGCAAGAAGCTGCTGAAAGCTCTAATCAGCTTGTCTGGTGTCTATTCTCAGGAGCCTGAGAAGACCTTGGATATTTTTAACATCACATTGGCCAGACAGCAGGCTGAGGTGGAGGTAAGCTCTGTCTCACCTACTGTATGGCGGGCAACTTCACTTTGTACTGTATCTCTATCATAAACCGTGGTCACTGCAGCACTGTAGCCAACAAATGCTGTGTTCAAATGTCCTTTTAATACTCATGTCTCAAGTATGCTACTTAAAAAACTATTTAATACTAATTCATTCCATTCATGCTGATGAATTTAAGAAGAAATAGAAACAGAAATGATACAGAGTACAATTCCTTTTCAGAAATGCACTGTATGTTTCCATCAATATACCACATATTACAGACGGTGGTAACTGTTATCAGCAGTTGCATCTAGTGGTTGAGCTGCAGCGGTCTAGGCCTTTAACTTGACAGCTGGGAAGAAATAGTTACATAATTTCCCTCACAGCACTTTGCTATGACTAGCAATTTTACAATAGAGTATTTCTCTTACAATTTAAAAATAACACATTGGTGGCCAACAAAATAATATTTTGTTTTGGATTCATTTCACGTGACGCATAATGCAGAGAATATGTGCTTCCTTGATTTATCTATGTATTGACACAAACTGAATAGAGAGAACTGTTTTTTAAAAAACTTCCCCAGGCAAGCAAGGCAGGCCTACGCATTTACCGTCCAGGGCTTAAGATGGAGGAGGAGGAGTCACAGGGCTGGTTGGGCTGGATGTGGAGTTGGGGAGGAGAGGCTGATGCAGAAACAAAAGAGGTCAAGACTGGAGGTAGGATGTAGAAAACCGCAAGACATGTGAATAAAAGATAATATGCACATGTGGCTAATGGAACCAAAGCAAAATAGTTGATGGTGTTAGCTAATGCTCACATTATTTCTATTCCCTCTTGCCCTGTCACTCTGTTTCAGGCTTTGATGACCTGTTAACCACCGCTGAGAAAGCCAAACTCTACACTGCCATTGGATACAGTGACACAGCTGCAAATCCCAACCTGCCAAAGACTGTGAGTCACCTGTCAACAACTCTTGCTTTAGGCTCTCCATCCCGCTTAAAGGAATACTTCACCTCCAAAAAGATCATTTGTAGATCACTTACTCACCCCACGTCGCCTTGAATTCACCTTGAAAACTAGAACTAAAACAAAGGAAATTCTTAATGAACTGAAGTAAATGCCGGCTGCGCTTAACAACAACAAAACTATATCAAAACATCCATTTACAGACTCTCACACATGTAGTATAATCTGAGTCTCTTTTATCCAGTTGTATAGGCGCTACTTCCCAAACACGTACATTTTCACTGAAACCTTTCTATTTAAAACATTTCTTACCCGTCCGGACTCGCACAGACCTGTACTGTGCCTGCACAAGGCTGAGACAGTTAATGCAGAAGTGTTTTAAATAGTGAGGTTTTAAGTAAGACGCATGTGTTTGGAAAAGTAGTGAGAATAACACAGGATAAATGACACTTGAATTATACCGCACGAGTAGTGTGAGAATTTGTAAACCGATGTTTTGACATGCGAGAAAAAGAGATTTCTATTTTCTCCAAGAATTTAAGGTAACACAGGGAGAGTACTTGAAAGACAAATGGTCATTTTGGGGTGGAAATATTCCTTTTACACAATATTACCAAATGCAAATACTGTATCAGATACTGTGATTATGTACCATGTTGTCATTTCTTTATAGTTTGAGGACATGAAGGTCAATTTCCACATGGAGAGGCTGACTGTGGCCATCAAAGACAACAAAGACAAGAATGAGCTCATCAGGCTGACTGTGGGAGAGCTCAAGTCCACACTCACACAGAGACCGGGAGCACAAGCCATCAAGTTCGTCATAACTATTTGTTTTTGCAATCTTTTTTTAAATAACCCGCTATAATGACCAGTAGAAGCAGTTTGTGGTTTTACTTTTGGTCTTTTGAGTCCCAATACTTACAGTACAGCTCATATTTAGGATCCTGGCATGGGTGTCACTGACATTTAGTCTCTTCCTCTTTTTATCAGAGTCACAGCTGAGCTTAGTCTGTTTGAAGTCACCGGCCTGGCCAGTGAGCGGCCTGCACCAACCCTCCTGTCATCAAGGAAGGCAGCCACGGGAGCCGGGACCCCGCTGCTCTGCATCCTGTTTGAGACCAACCCGCTGGATGAGAGCGCTAACCAACGGCTTCATGTGGAATCACAGCCCTTGGAAATCATCTATGATGCTGTAAGTGGTGTCCGTCGGTGTATGAGCATGAATAAAACATGAAGGGTGGGGGGTTACATATCAAATGGATTCTCTGTTCGTGTGTCTCTGTAGATAACGGTGAACAGCATGTCGGCGTTCTTCCTGCCTCCTGATGACCTGCAGCTGGATGAGCTCACCAACGTAACCCTCATGAAACTGGAGCAGTTCAGAGACCGCACAGCCACCGGTCAGTCGCACATATATTTACAACCATCTGCTGTATATCGGGGGTTAATTCCAGTCCTGGTCTCAACCCTCTGGTGGGCAAATGTTTCACAGCCTGCATGCCTGAGCCACTGATTCAGTTGGATTGTGGTGTTCCTGTTTATGTTCTCGAGACTGATTGTTCCCTGAGATTGTTTGCTGAAGTTTGAAGCTCATTTTGTCTCTTACGATGGCATTATTCACTGCAGCTCATGTAATTCCAGACATGTAATTCATGAACTAAATTCATCCAATAACTAAATCAGTGCTTATGATAGATCTATGATCATAATTTGCTTATTACAAACATGATGCTGAACTTTATCAAGCTTTCTTTTCCATCATCATCATTAATTAGATAATAGGAATCCTCACATCATTAAGGTCTTCTGTATTAGAGAACAAAGCTGATCTATTGTTTTGTTTGTCTGTTTTGGCTGCGATTGATGAATAAATTACTTTTTTTATAGGTTTAATGTATGTGATCGAAACGCAGAAGGTGCTCGATCTGAAGGTGAACCTGATGGCCTCCTATGTCATCATTCCTCAGACTGGATTTTTCGACGGCACTCAGAACATCCTGCTGTTGGACCTTGGGCATTTTAAGGTCAGAGAGTACAAATCTTGACACAAATTGTGTCAAAATCCTACTTTAGGCCATGTAGTATAAGTAAATGAGCCTTTTGAGTTGTTGTCCAAAGGCTTGATTTGAAGGCTTTAGAGTTACAAAGTTTTAACATTTTAATTTTGTTGTCTTTTCAGATGTCCAGTCAAAGCAAGAAGCACCTGCCTCAGCTGTCAGCTTACTCCAGTAACATTGAGGACATCATGTCCAGAGCATACGACAGCTTTGACATACAGCTTAGCAGCCTGCAGTTTCTTTATAGCAAGCCAGGTACGCACACTTTTGAGATACTGCAATACATTATACAGTACAACATCATTTATAGAGAGAAAACTGGGTAAGTCTTGTAGCCTTATCAGCGATACTTTGTCTTAGAAATAATACATAGATATCGAAAATATATTTTCTCAAAGCTTTTAAGATGTTTTTTTGTGTCTTCGTGTGTGTGGAATAAAAATAAATGTAAAACTTTTACTTTGTGTGATAGATGGCGACTGGAAAATGGCCCGTAAGCAAAGACAGTCACCGCTCCACATTCTAGAGCCAGTAGATCTAAAAATGGTTTTCAGCAGAGCGATGGTCATCAAAGACTCCCGCATGGCAAAGTAAGTTTGTTGTTTTTTTAAACCCCATACATCTTGTTATTTAGTATTCCATGTTGTCAGGATGTAAGATGCGATGCACACTAAAGTTAAAGGTCATATGTTTGGGTGTGTGTCTATTGTGTTCCCATTTTTGCACATGTGTTCCAGGTATAAGATGTCCGGACAGCTCCCCCTGCTCTCTCTTCGTATTTCTGATGTGAAATTCCGAAATGTTCAGCAGCTGGTAGAAAGTATCCCGCTGCCTGAGAGCAGACCTGCTGCACACGGCGGTGCTTCATCCTCCACTGCAAAGGTAAGACCAGCAGGATGGTTCATAATGTTCACGTTTTGTTTGGATCGGATAAATGACCGAGAGGAAATAAAACTAAATAACCAAAATCCAGCGAGAATATTTTTCCTGCAGTTTCTTCTACAGTTTGCTGTTGTTGTTGTTAGTAGAGATTAGAGAATGGAGAAATAAGTCAATTTATCAATTGATGAGTACAATGTACTTTAATTATAACAGATTTAACTTTTCTTGCTGATACATCTCATGTTTTGGTGTTGTTTCCTCCTCAGCCGAAGCAGTCCTTCACCCCACAGCTCACTCCCAGAAGACCTCTGAACTTAGCTGACCAGCGCTCCTCTCTCATGTTTGAGTCATGTGAGACCATCAGCGTCACCTCATTGGGTAAGACTCGCTGCACATTCTCTAGCCATATCCTCCTCTCTCTGCACCCATCGCACAGCCACACATGCATAATCATCATGCTGTATACCTTGTAACACGCTGTAACACGACAGTATAACAGATGGGTCATCGTGTGTATTTCTGTCACCTCTTAGGGTCAGCGGAAGACTTGTTCTACGATGCTCCCAGCTCTCCCATTGGCGATCAGGCGTCATTCTTCCCAGATAATCCCATGCCGCTGAGCTACAAAATAAAAGGGTCAGAAGCTCAGAAGAACATGACAGAATTCACCATGAAGTTTGAAATCAGCGAGGTACAGAGAGGTCTTGTTGAAATAGGGGACAAGCCGAGTCTCTGATGCCGTTTCATTTCTCTAACTGTCTTTCCATTATTGTAATCTGTTTTTCCCTTTGTCCCTCTGTATGTTCTCTTTCTCTATGTCCTCTTCGTTCATCTAGTTTTCTGTTCAGTTGTGTCGTCTGTCCGGGGATCAGGAGGTCACAGTGCTCCACTTGGACATAGAAGCTCTGGGCACTGAACTGAACCTACGCACCTTTGACATGACATCTTACACCTACCTAAAGGAGATCTGCCTCAAGTGCCCTGAATACATGGGTCAGTAGATGCTTGCAGTTCTTGAGACATTATTCATAACTCAATTTGACTAACATTTGGTGATTACAAACATTCTAATAAGCATTTGTGAAAAAAAAGTCAGACCAGTATCGACAGCAGTCATGTTTTATTTATCTCAACCTCGTATAGATTCCGAAGAGAAGCAGGTTCAGCTGATCACCACTCTAGACAACACGGAAGTGGACCTTCTTACCCTGGAGTATATTAAAGTATGTGTGATAGTATATGTTGAAACTTTCAGATCTGTCAGTATCCTGAATGATTATTTTGCAAATGGCTTTCTGATTGAGGATTGTATGTCTTTTCTAGGCTGATAAGAATGGCCCGGAGTTCAAGTCTCAACACAGCAATACAGAGCAATTCATTAAGGTGAGGAAAATGTTAATTCACTAGTAATTCAAATGTAGATGCTTCTATATTATTATATCTGCTGTATTGGAATACATTTGTAGAAGGTTTCCCTATCAAGTATTCGATGGTGGAAGATAAAGCAAAGTACATTTTAAATATCTGTATTTTCATGACAGTGTAAATACAAGCCATTATAAGAACAAAAACAATGGTACTTGATGCAAAACAAAAAGCAAAGATGCCATATTATTGTTCTTCTCCACTAATTTAGTTTTTGACAATGCATTCCCCATCAGGTGGCCGTCTCCTCCCTGGATGTCCATCTCCACACGGAGGCTCTACTTAACACCATGAACTTCCTCAACAACCTCCTTCCTCCATCCACTAAGAAGGAGGGAGGGCAGGAAGAGCTGCCCACCATCCTGGAGGAGGAGGAGGCTGAAGTGGAGAGGGAGGGAGAGAAGAAGGAGGAAGCTACTGTAACCAGGAAAAAAAGTAATCTGTTCTACTAAACCCTTTCAGAGTTTCATTCAACCTTACATTGCAAAGCCATCATTCGCCTGTGGTCGTCTTGCATTACTCACCTTTTCTTTCTCTGCACTTTTTTCTCATAGGCACAAAGAGTTCAAAGTTTGCCAATATGGTAAATCTGCATATCAGAGCTGATCTCCGCTGTCTGAAGGTTTTTATTCGAGGACAGAAAACCAGGATCTCAGAGATTCGTATCGAAGGTGTGTAAGGGTTGTGAGTGACATCTCTTGCTCAATTTGTCTTGTAATGCAACATTTCTGATTTGGTCCTCCATGCATGCATTGCATGAAAGTATGCCATTAATGGGGAAATGCAAAATAAATGCTTTCTCTCTCTTTCTCAACCATCCAGGTCTGGTTTCTGAGGTTCTGATGAGGAAAAAGGAGATGGAGGTTCTGGCAAACCTGAAGAACATTGTGATCCTAGACTGTGACAAAGATGCGCTTTACAAGAAGGTACAATCAGCAAGTGGTCTTTCTTCAAAATGTGAATGCTATATGCTAATCTATCAATGAACTTAATGTGCTCTTAACTTGTCTTTTTGTTCTATAATAATTCAATTCTATGTATTTAAGTCTACATGTATACTTTGTCACTTCCCGTGCTTTTAACGACTTGTTTCTGGCATTCATAAATGTTGAGCACCGAGCACAAGTCACTCAGGATAAGAATAATAATAATTTGTGTTTGCCAATAGCTCTTTAATTCTCCTTGTCTCATTTATTTCTTAGGCTGTGTCTATCGCAGATAAGGAAGTGTTTGATTTCCACATGGTAAACTATACAGCCGCAACAGAGGGAGATGCCTATCTGGACATGTCTAAAGTTGACACCTCTGTCACGCTGACTGTGGGATGCATCCAGGTCATCTTCCTCAACAAGTTTGTCTCCTCCATGCTGGTAAGTATCACATATCCCTGGAACAATTCAAGCCTTTTTTAATATATAAATGTGCTTATGCAACAGACTTGATACAGACAGTACAGATACTAACTGTGAATAAGAAGTCTGTCATTTTTCTGACATTTTTTAACGGTTTCAACTCATAAACAACCATAGAAACAGACGGCACAAAATGCACTCATCATCCCAGAATAATCCGCCCTCTTTCCCACCCTCCCACATGTCCCGGGAGGAGAATACACTTCCTTGCTTGACAGATGAAGCAAAACAAAACAAATACTTAGTTAAGGAGTTAATATAGGAGAGTAAGGGGTCCCAAGTTCTGTGAAACCTTTTAACAGATCTTCTGACTGTGTGCTTAATTTTCTTTCTATGTGGAGGAAAGTCATTCAATCTTTTAACCAAGAAGTTGTGCCAGGAGGGTTATACCCTTCCAATGTAACAATATACGATGCAAATATGACAAAGTCAGCCTGGTATTTGGTAAACCTACCTTCAACAGGAGACACACCAAAGATAGCGATCAAGGGGCACGGGGTTTGGCAAACAATCCAAGACTTTGAACAGTTGGTCTTGTCCCAATCAGTTAATATGTGTGGGATACCGATGGCAGGACCCCACTTTCAGATTTATGTATTTGCCAGGATAATTATTTCATTAATATGAGTCTCAAGATTTCTTTTGTAAGATAATTATGCAATAAGAACTTTCTAACTCACTTAAAACTAATGATGCATATAATACTGTGTTAATTTTTCCTTGTACCCAATTATTTCTGCATTCCAACCCAAACTTCTTTTAATTTCTCTCCCACATTCTTTTATTGTCCATCCCCTTTTTATGCTCCCAGGCTTTCGTCAATAACTTCCAGAAGGCTAAAGAGGCCCTGGCTGAGGTGACAGTCCAGGCTGCAGGAAAGGCAGCATCAGGTGTGAAGGAGCTGGCCGAGCGGAGCACTCGGATCGCTCTGAACGTCGACTTCAAAGCACCCATCATCTTCCTGCCCCAGTCCTCCTCTTCCTCGAATGTCATTGTAGCTGACCTTGGTCTGCTGTCTGTCAAGAACCGCTTTGCCAAGCAGCCCTTTAAAAGTGATGCAAAGATCCCGCCTGTTGTGGATCAAATGATTGTGAGACTGACTGACCTCAGGATGTACAGGTCAGAGACCAGTCATCTGAATAAATTATGATTAAATTACCATTTGCTGAAAGAAGATTTTTTTAAAAGTAAAAGAAATATCATGTTCTCGGGATAACTTCTCTCATTACTTGTGTGTTGTTGCTTTTTCCAGGACCACATACGTAGATGAAGGTTTTCAGGGAGAGACCCAGCTGTTGATGCCAGTCTGCCTGGATTTGGAAATCCAAAGAAATCTTTCGTCCAACTGGTACCACAGCATACCTGACATAGAGATCACTGCTCATCTTAAGCCCATGAGTGTAAGTAGTGCTGTATGGTTGCATGGGAAGGAGTTACTAGTTTACAGCAAATGTAGTGTTTCTTATACACTACGTAGATTTTTATTTGTGCATTTTGAAAATTGGATTAATAAATTAGGCCTATAGATTAGGATATACTGTATTATGACTTTGTTGTTTTTTTAAAATATCTGATTCCAAGATAAGTTAAAGGTTTATGGTGAAAATCTAAATCCCTGGCATCTTATTATCAAATCCTGTTTCTGCTCCCAACAGCTGATCCTCAGCCAGGATGACATGACGGTGGTCCTGAGGACTCTTAGTGAGAACCTGTCGGAGAGTTCTGATGCTCTTCCCCCTCCAGCTCCTCCACCCACCACTGATCGTTCCTCTGACTCTGTATCTAACAAAGAGTCCCAGGGATCTGGAACCACTGGACCGGCCAGCAGTAAGGCGTTGTGGTTATGCTTGTTTATGTTCATGTGTGTAAAGTAGTTCTAAAAATAAGGCACAATCTTAAAATTGACTAGCTTAGAGCTTGATAAGTGAACTAAATCCTAGAAAGCTTATGAAATCTTTCAATGGAAATTTTTTTTAATCATTTTAACCAAGAACTAATGAACCTTTCTAACGTGGTTTGTGCTGTGTAACCTTGTAGGTAACACAGTAGTGACGGCTGCTGTTGTGGAGCCCCACAAAAGCAGCAAGTTGAAGAACACTCTCAAAGTAGACTTCAAGTTTGACTCAATGACACTCGTCTTGTACAGCCCTAATGGGAGTGAGGTAATGCATATACATACGCACACAGACACGAATGATGTGTGAAATAAAACCTGTCTGTCATCATTTTACAAAACAGTCTAACACGGTGTGTATGTCATTATCTAGATCCAGCGGTTGGATTCCCACGATGAGCAGCTGAAGTTGGCAGAGTTTACTCTGGGCACCATCTCCACCTCCGTCCACATGTTCTCCGACAGCTCCATGAAGGCCTCAGTCCGACTGGCGGCCTGCCTTCTAGATGACAAGAGAACCAGAATCCAGATGGTCACCCCGAGGTACTCGGGACGCGCACACACACTCTCATGCACATGTTTATCAGTATATATACACAACTCAAGCTGACATCAAATATTTGTTTAATTCAAATTTTACACGCCAAAAGTGTACAGTATGCTTTCTTCCATTACAATATACCTGAGCTTAATGATGACATATTCTTGTTGTCTGTCCTCAGATGCTTTATAACACTTCTGTCATATAGTGTGAGTGTGATCTTACTGACAGACTGGTAGATGTAGAAAACTAACACGTCATTTTCATGCCTAAAAATAGCATGTAGGGCAAATTACATTTAATGTTGTATTTATCTGTTCCTCTGCTGGAGATAATATTGTAATCACTACTCATTCTTTACTCTCTCAGTCCTTCTTTTATGTACTTCTTTGTGTCTGACCATCATTTATACTCTCACTCTGTCCACTCCTCCACATCCATCCAGTAATAATATCTTTAACCCCTTTCCTTTGTCTTCTCCAGGATGATTGCAATGCGTCCTGGTGCAGAACAGAACATGATGGTGGAGGTGAACTACCGTCAGGGCCGTGATGGCACCACTTTGGACACCGTGGTGCAGGATGTGTACCTGTGTGCCAGCATGGAGTTCCTTCTCACGGTGGCAGATATCTTTCTCAAGGCCACCCAGCAGGGTTTTGATCAAAAAACTCCAACCAAGAGCAGTAGTGGAGCGGGAGAGAAAAGGAACATTAACTCCTCTACCACATCTAAAGAGTCCAGTGAGTTAACCATATCAATTTAAAGGGATTTTTGATTCAGCAAAATAAAACCATCTGCAATTTCTCTTAATCAGACACAGCCAGGGGGGGAGGAGGGCATGTGGAACAAATTATGACCGTTTCTCTTTTGGATCATGTATTTTGTGTGTGTGGTAACATAATGGGTCATATACTAACTGTAAGTTATAAAGAATGGAATTAATCTGACGTTATTTGTACCCTGTTGCCTTACGACCTGAACTGATGTTTTCCTCTGACTCTCTGTCGCGGTCAGCTGTAGCTCCAGCTGTGGTGTCAAAGACGGAGATGAATGTTCTGGTGCGTAACCCGGAGATTGTGTTTGTGGCTGACTTGACGCGTGCTGACGCCCCGGCCCTGGTGATGACCACGCAGTGTGAACTAGTGATGAAAAGTGGTGCAGAGGGATCACAGATGACTGCTGTTATCAAGGACCTCAAGGTTTGTATCGTCATTGTAATGCCACCCTGAAAAAACAGATTGTTTAAATAATGAAAAAGATGTCTTGCATGCAAAAATTAAACAAGTTTCTTTGAATTGTTGCTGTTATTGTAGGTAGTGGCCTGTCCCTTCTTAAGAGAGAAGAGGAAAAAAAATGTGACCACAGTGCTGCAGCCGTGTCAGGTGTTCTTCCAGAGCACTCAGTCCCCAACCTCCCCTCAGGCTATGGAGGTCTCCATCAACGCTCTCACATTGAAGGTAGTTTTTTGTTTAATCATCGTTACACAATCTGAATCCAGGAATTTCATCTATGAAAGGCATTTTCTTCCAATACAAATGTTAAAAGTTTTTCCAGGGATTAAGTTGTTCCATCTAGACGTCAATGATAATAAATGCTTTGCTATTAGCAACTAATGGCCTGTTTTACCTTTTAAACTGTAGTGTAAAGCTTGATTTATACTTGATGCATCCGCAAGTGATGTCACACCCTCAGACACGCTCCTTCACGTTTTTTTTTTCCCCCTGTTTCTGCCCATCTGATTTTCTAACATCGTGAATGGACAGAAACGATGCTGAAACCATGCTTTAGATGTGAGCTTTAGATACTCTGCCCCCTACAGTTTGTCGTGAGGAGAAACCCACACAGAGAATAAATGGGCCAAACGTTTCCTTGTCACGATTCCTTCTCAGCTCATGTCTGTGTTAATGTCCATGCAGTGAATTGATCCTTTCCTTAATGGGAGATCAACTCTTTTTTTTTTTTAATGTACTGGTATGCATATATCCAATTAAAAGAGCAATAGAGTCAGTCAGTATTTCTGGGTACACCATCTTACATATACAGAAAATGATGATCATGACACCCTTCATGTAGGAGTTCTCTCACTGGTCAGTATTGTTTTATGAGAAGCATAGAGCTTATCAGAGGGGCATGTTTTCTAATAATTGTGACATCTAGGCAACGCATGTCAGCTTCTGTCATATAGATGTGTATCAGCCGCCGTCAAAGGAAATTATAGCATCAAGTGAATGCAAAATTTTAAAGCAATGAAAGCTTACTATTGTGTATACTTAGAAACTTTAAAATGTAACTATGAACTGTGAACTTGGTATAAAACAGTTGTGTCTCTGCGACCTGACTCTCTACCTAGGTATCTCCAATAATCATCAACACGGTGATGACCATCCAGTCTGCACTGACTCCCACAGCGGAGACCCCTGAGGAGCTGGATAGTCCTGTTCCCGTGGACCTGTGGGAGAAACGGGGCTGGAAGGAGCTCAAACTTTGGTTCCTAGAAGAGGAGGGGGATGAAGACCCAGAGTCACAGCCCCCACTGATACCACAGGGAGAGTCATTACAGGTATGTGGCCATGTTTATACTGCAAACCTATGATCTTTTTTGCAGGATTTCAGTCTATACACAGACTACAGGTTTGATGTATAAGAGCATTTTGTGTCATTTCATTGGCTGTCCATCTCTGCAGGTGACCATCAAATCTGTCTGTCTGACTCTGGAGGCTGGAGTGGGACACCGCACTATCCCCATGCTTCTGGCCAAGTCCTCCTTCCATGGAGATGTCAAAAACTGGTCCACACTCATTAACTTACACAGCGAGCTGAACCTGGAGGTATAGCACATGCGCACTGTATTTATTTCCTTAACTTGATCCTAGGACCTTATTCTAATTCTTACATTAACATGTCACTGTAAAATTGCCCTAGAACTATGTTTGACTTTTGCAGTTTTCTTTGCTTTTGATATTGTTTGGTCCACTCAAATATGAGGAATGCACAATACCCTTTAAGATTATCTATTCTTTATGCTTTACATAGACCTATTGATGGTAATCTAACACAATACCTCAAACATATTACCACTTGCTATGGTGCTCATGTGCTCGGAGAGGTTACTGAGATTTTCTTGTGTTTTGTATTGCGTTTTACTTTTAGGTTCACTATTACAATGAGATGATGGGAGTGTGGGAACCGCTGCTGGAGCCCTTAGAAGATGAGACAAGAGATGGCTTTCGATCATGGAGACTGGAACTGAAGGTACTGATATAAATAAACACACATACTGTATTCATACTGTATATACTCAGACATGCATGCATATAACTTTTCTCTATCCTATAATCAGATGAAGAAGAAGTCAGTGATTTACACAGGTTTGTCAGATGAAGTGGATTACCATGTCCCAGACTATAAGACGGTCATCGTCATCAGCAGTAATGACCAGCTCAACATCACCCTCTCCAAGTGTGGCCTGGCCATGCTTAGTAACCTGGGCACGGTAAGAGAAGAGCTGTAAACATTTTAACAGGAAGTCTAAGAACAGGTGGTCATCTATAATGTTTCTGTTCCTGCCTCTCCCCAGGCGTTTGCAGAGGCTGCCAAACAGACAGCGGACTCTTTCCAGAAGGATGAAGCTCCGTTTATAGTGAAAAACCGCCTCGGCCTGCCAGTGTCCGTCCGCCACAGTGAGATGTTTTGTCCCATCGGCCAGCAGAGCACCAACGGCTCTGTGAAGCTGCAGGACGGAGTAACCGTCGGGATGGACTATTCCACCAAAGCAGACTCTGACCAGTTCTCAGCCATGATCTCCTTGAGTGGAAAGGACTACTACATAGAGCCTAGTAAGTTGACCTGTATACACCATTATGTATGTGCACATGTGCAACAGTGAATCGTTAGTTGTTGCAATATCACCAATACACATTACTGCCAACAGTGTTTAGTTTTACACAAAGCCTACAGTACACTCACTTTGTGTTTATCTGTCTTTAGATCAGGACACACTGATACAAACAATGTTAAAACTGGGCAGTCAACTTAACCTAACAATGAAGTTAAAGCACAAAATGTAAAGGATAAACGGTGATTTTATTTTTAAATTATGACCTAATTGATTTTGTGTGTATTTATAGAAGAAATAAACTGGTGATTATCGTCTCTGACAAGTGTCGTCATCAATCCCCTCTCCCTCTCCTGTATTTATTTTTGCATCAAACTATATCATCAAAAAACTATCCCAGAAAAATGTCAAAATATAATACTTTCAGGTTAAATGAACTGCTCTTACTTCCTCTGCTCTCTCCAGCTCCGATGGGCCACACCTCAGCCGGTGTGATCCCCCTGATCAAGGTGGGCGGAGGAATGTACAATGTAATGCACAAGGACTCGGGAGTAACTCGTTTCCTGGTCTGTCAGATTTACTCTGTGGAGGGCAGCAAGTACATCAAGATCCGCTCCCCTTTCCAGGTACTACACTTATCCTGTTGTACAAGTTTAGTCATTTTTATCCTTTATTTTAAAATATTTCATGACAAAATTACACTTTCCCTTCAAGGTACATTCTTTAGGGAACTTCATCATTTAAGCTAATTAAATATGTATTGCAATAACTGTATATCAAGTGTCTTGCAGATCACTCAAAAATGTTTAAATTTTTTTTCTCATGTCCTGCAGATCATCAATCATTTCTCAATCCCATTCAAAGTTTTGGAAGGATCAACATGTCTGGGTACAGCTCTCCCTACTGAAGAGTTCTGTGTGCCTCTGGACTCGTATAGGTGAGGGAAAACACATGAACAATCCTGCACAGATTCATAAAGTCTCTTTTGTTTTGTCTCATTTTCTCTCTGCACAAGACAACAAAGGGAGAGCATGACTAAGAGAGGCACATAGTACACACTCCTTCACACACACGTGGTCTCTGCTGCCCCCCTCAGGTCTGAACTGAGCCTCCAGCCGGTAACTGAGGACGATACTGACGATCAGGGTGAGCAGTTTGAGTGCTCGGAGGGTTTCAGCTATGAAGAATTCAGCAACGAGCAGCCTGAGACACGCCTCCAGCAGACCTGCAGTCGACGTGGAGATCAGGGTGGCGTACTGATGGTCAACATGGTGCCATTAAGAGATGATGTGACATTCAAACACACCGGAGGTGTTGGGGAGAACTTTGATGTTCCCTTTGTGCTTCACCTGTGGCCTTCCATCCTGCTACGCAACCTGCTGCCTTACCCCATCTCTTACCAACTGAAGGTACGATGTATCTGGTTGTCACCACTGAAAAGGACCAAACCTGGACATTTCCCCACCTGTACAGTCCATTTTTTATTTTTATTTTTACACAATTGATCTTATTTGATGCTGTGCTTTATTGGCCAATTATCTTGCTTTTGAACTCGATGTCCCTCTCTGCCTGCTGCTCAACAGGACAGCGGAGTCTCTGCCCCTGAGGCCACTTTGGACGCAGGACACTCAGCCCAGCTTCACACTGCAGTCATCGACCAATCAAGACTCGATCTCTGCCTACTGAACTACTTGGCTCAGGACTGGTCTGCTGAGTACAGGTTTGACTTCCGTTTGATTCATTGTTTTGATGTTTTGCTTTCCCGTTGTCATTGTGTTCTTGATGTCTACACTTTGTGAGTATATTTGTCCATTGTGCCAGAGGAAGAGATGTATATTTATTAAACATCTTTATTATATGAAGGGTGAATCTAAAATAACGCATTCTGCAATAACATTCTTATTGAAATAAACAAATTATCCTGTCATACAGTTTTCACAGTGACAAGGAAGAGATCACCTTCATAGTGTTCCAGTCGCTGCGAGAGAGTGACGAAGACGACGGTGAAGGGACGGAGAGCAAGAGGCCCGAGTTGGATATAGCCGTGCATGTCAAATATGACCTGGGGCAAACGGTGGTTGCCATCCACTCACCATATTGGATGGTGAACAAGACGGGCAGGTTGCTGCAGTACAAGGCTGATGATATCCACCGTAAACACGCCCTGGACTACGACATGCCTTTGCTCTTCTCCTTCAAGCCTCGTTACTTCCTGAAAAACAATAAGGTGTGAGAGGGTTTCAAAGTCAATTAGAAGAAGAGAGTTGATTTGATGTTTTATCTGGATTTTTTTTTTATTTAGTTCATTATACTAATTATGCAGCTTTATGGTGAGAATTGAGAAATGATACCTCCATATCTCCGACATTACAATAACATTCACAAATATATATTTGTCTTAACATAAGTGTGAAAGAAATTCCTCTGCATTTAAAGCGTCACTGGAGAGGAACATCAAAGGGAAACTGGAGACATTTTTTGTTTTCAATTAAAGCATTTAATGAATTAGCCAAATAAATGCTATCACTATCATTAAACTAGGAAACTAAGTAAGTTAGCCATGGACAACCTTTCATTCTAAGGAACATTGAGCCGATCCATAACCTCTGGCTGTCATTTCTTCGTGTATAGATTTTGATGCCTTTCTTTTCATCGCTCAGGTCCGTCTTATGATCTCAGAAAGTGAACTCTCTGATGATTTCTCCCTGGATACAGTTGGTAGCTACGGAGATGTCAAATGCAAAGGCCGATATAGAGATTACTTGGTGAGATTTTGCTTCTTTGGCTGATATTCACACATACATGTGTATGATTTTAGATGACTTTAGTATGTAAAGTAGGCAGGTTTGGTTATTGAAGATAATCGTCATGTTTGTATGTGTGCAACATCTGTCTGATATCAGGTTGGTGTGAAGATTGACGCAAGCAGTTTCAGTCTGACCCGCATCGTGACCTTCGTGCCGTTTTACATGCTGGTCAACAGAACCAAGCACAGCGTCTTCATATGTGAAGAGGAGAAGGACAACTGGACAGAGGCTCAGCCAGGACAGGTCAAAGCCCAACCCATTGTTGTTTGCATCTGTGTTTCCCTGCACATGTGGTTCACTCTAGGATTCTGCTGAAATTCACAATGTCTGGATTAGGAAAATACGTTACTATTACAGATGTACTTGTTGGGATTTTCAAATACTGAAGGACTTACTTTTTAACATTTTCAGATGAAACCCATACTGTACATTGTTATTGAATGTTTTGTTTTATTCCACATTTAGTCAGCCATTCCCTTCTGGCCTGGGAATGACACCAAGCAGCTGAAGATCAAAGTAGAAGGCTGTTTGTTGCCTCCTCGGACTATTGACTTCACACGACCAGAAAACTGCTTATTGCTGCATCTGGACAATTCTGTAAGTGCAAACAAAGATACGTGTAGTCGCTTCATGTTAAATGATTAATTCCTAGATGCACTATATTAAGAGATGTTTAATTATGTCTAGTGCTGATCAAATGTACTCTCATTGGCCTCCAGAGCGTTTAGGAAACCTTTATACTATATACCAGCATGTAGACCGTTGTTTTTCTTCTGCAGGTGGGTGGGATGGCTGTAGATGTGAACTTGTCAGAGCACTCGGCCACAATCCGATTCTCTGAGTACCACGACGGTGCCGCCCCTTTCCTCATTATCAACCACACAAATGACCAGACTCTGCACTTCCATCAGAGGTGAGAGATCAGGAGGAGCACCGTTAGGACGGTGTTGTGTTGAAACTAAATACTTACTGGGTAGCATGTATTTGTGAATCGGCTCAGACTGGGGAGGAAAAAGGATATAAGTTAGATATTAAACATGATAGATTAAGCTTGTCATCAAACATGTGACACAGCGGGTCTTAATCAATCACAGATATGAAGAATTCAAGTTAGGTGGGGGGCTCAATAAAGAAGTGATTGAGATGCAGGAGAGAGGAAGGAGAAGAGTGAGTGAGATGCATTTCAAGTATGTGCTGAAGATGGACTGGCACTAAATACTTTATGTTGGTGAAGATAAATTCAAGACTTAAACAAACCTTTGTTAGAAAATCGATTTGCTTAGTATACTTGTTATTTACAGTGACGGGTGCATAACATCTCCCACTGCTTTATTTCATAATATGTCAGTGCTTCTTTGTTGTAAGTGTTGTCTGCAAATGTGCTTTCATGGTACTCCGAGTTTCCTTCCAGTTAAGTTGCGGATGTGGCGCTCTCGCCTTAAGATGAGACGATGCCTCAAGTGTAAAGAGAAAATCTCTCAAAGATCATAGTAGGATGTTGTGCCAGCTGTGCCATGCCTATTCATTCAGCCTCTGTGTTTTTCATATTACTACCTTTGTAAACATCAGGTTTAGATTTCACCCACAAAGGAACATTTCTTCATGCACAATGTTTACATTTACTGTTCATTGATTTGTTTTTTGCATGTTTCTGAATGACGATACTCTTTCCTCTTGTTGCAGCAGCCTTAAACAGTTAAGTTAATGATAACTAACCGTGTTTGTTTTTTGCTGTTAGCAATTAATGTTTTTGTGTTGTGGGTCATGCAGCGCCTGGACAGAATCCTCGTGGGTGGCTGACGAGCTACTCGACCGCTCCTTGTCAAGGGAGGACAGGTAGAAAAATATGAAAAGGGAAAACTCTTCTGACACACTGAACTCAGATAAAGAACGGCCTTAGATAGCTAGTTTTAACGGATAGCTAAAGCCAAATGTGGGAGGGAGAAGAGGAACAATTAAGTATGGCAAGAAAACACATCCAAAAATCAAGAAAGATGCAAATACCTCTTCAACAATTTTCGGGGGCAGGCAAGAGGGCACAAAACACACAAATACTGCAATGTAAATCTGAATTGGTGTAACATTATTCACTTCAATGTGACATCACACTTAAGTGCAGAGTGTGGTCAGATCAAGAGTGCAGGTAAAGATTAGTGGAAGAAAATGGATTCAGGTTTGTCTGTGTAATCTGCTCCTCACCAATGAGAAATAAGATTTGTTAAAATATTATATCACAAGACATTATTGTGCTGGCAATATACTTAAGAAATGTTTATGCTCTGCTGGGATTTTACACTGATTGAGGACCATTGGTTCAGTAGAAGGAGCAGGTTAGACATCTAAACCCATTTACACATGTATTACTATGTTCCTTTGCTCTCCTATCAAGTGCTAAATCATCTTTACTTGCTGCTGACAGGATGGGATTCTGCCAGTGGAATCACACCTCCTGCTTCTTCCAGTAGTTTCTGTTGCTTGACTAGTATTCTCTGATTCTCCATCTGCAGATTTATGGCTTATTTCATTTTCTTATGTCTGCTTTGTCTCGTCCGAATCGAGCTCTGTATCAGAGTGAACATGCACATTTAAACCTTCTCTCTCCAGTGGCCGTCGTTCTGTCCTCTTCTTGTCGGTTGATGGGAATTGTTTGTGTATTCTGTCGAACAGGTACTTTGGATTGGATGGTTGTCGTGGCGGTATATATTCTTGGTTGCTGGGCTCTGTTATATTGTCTTCCGTTTTACTGCAGCGTCTTCTTGCATTATTTGCTTCCTGTCATCTCAAATCAGTGGAATATTGTTTCCTGATTATTTCTTTTAGCAGTGATGAGGAATGTTACTGATATATACTCTGTGCGTGTGTGTGTTTCATGTGTGTGCAGCTCTCAGAAGAAGGAGGCGGAGCAGGAGGAGCTGGAGGCTGGGAAAGCTGTGCACTACACCTGGACTGAACCCACCGGGTCCCGAGAGCTTTGCTGGAAGTGTGGTACTTACAGTGGGAAGCTGAAGACTGAGGAGGTACTGTGCCTGAGACACAATCCTTTCTGTGGTTGAGGAATAACACAATAGTTATACATTATGTTGGCTTACTCAGACACCTCAGAGTTGGTCTAGTTCATCCATGTTTCTGCTTCTTTTAGGGCCAAATAATAATCTTTTGCATGTAATAATATTAAACGTAAGCACAGTTTAACTGTCGTGGTGTTTTAGATGTCAACACAATTGTTAGAGGAGACATTATTATGTTTGTTTAAACGGTATGCGTGTTTGTCTCTGTCTTCAGGACCTGCGTGAGGACATGAACAGTGAGGGAAAACTGTTTGTCATCTCCTTTTATGAAGGTAAAGCACAAGGAGCTTGAAAAACAATACCCAGACCACTTAAATGCATTCTGTAGGTTTGCTTTACACGGTCTTGTTTTCACTTCAAACAATCCTCACAATATCCTGTTTATGGTCGGTGCATGTTGCCATGTGCACGTTGGCTAGAACTGTCAAAATATACAAAACAAATAGACATTGAGGTGACACATTGTTCACAGGATTCAGGTCTAAGCTCTTGTTTTTTCTTGATGAATTAAATAATGAATCGCGTAACTTCAACCAGCTTTAGGAATCTGCTTACTACTACGCTTTTGTTTTTTTGTCTATCTAAAGGGCTCCAGCGCGTCGTGCTGTTCACCGAGGAGCGACGTATCTACAAGATACTCTGTGAGAGCGAGAAGGCGCAGCTGGCCGAACAGGAAATCATCCTCTCACTACAGAACGTGGGTGTGTCTCTGGTCAACAACAGCAGCGGCCAGGAGGTCTCTTTTATTGGGATCACAAGGTAGCCGACCAGCACAACATACACATGTGTACACATACACACACATGTAATAAAAAGCAGAAAACATGGCCAGGTTCATGTTATATGACCATGGCTCACTGCCGATTTAATACATCAAAATGTGTATGAGTTGTGGCATAGATAGTGATGTTGTGTGTGAATAGTATTACAAGGCAACATACTGTTCTCTGATATGCAGTTGAGATTGTCCAAAAACATCCGGCATCAGATACTTTCGAGGCTCAGACGAAATAGAATTGTTGACCAAATTGAAATCTTATTTGTGTTTTGTGTGCCTGCTTGATGATCTTAATTTTATACAAACTAGATGCAGTTACTGTTCCTTACACATCACATCAGTGAGTGAGAGACAAAGTCAGCAAAATTAAAAAGTTAACATTCCCTCAACGTCGGATAAATTGAAGATGCACTTATATGAGAAGAGGGTGCTGTGTTAAATGTTTCTTCTTGTAGAATAACATAGTAGCAACCGAGCCGTTTACCTATAAATCGTGTTATCTGAATACTGCAGTAAGAAGCATAAGTATTCGCATGATGCCAGGCCACTCCTGTTTAATCCTGCTGTTAAATACCAGGCAGTGATTTGACAATCCCTTGTTTCTCCTTTCTTGTCACAGCTCTGATGTGGTGTGGGAATTAAAGCCAAAGAAGAAGAGTCGGTGGAAGACTCTGAGCTCTAAAGAAGCTGAGATGCTGGAGAGAAGCTTCAAAGCGTACGCTGAATCTGGACCCGTAGACCACGCCATCGTCGACCTGGAAAACAGCTTCCAGGTTCGAGACTAAATACTGTATATTCTGATATTCTGAGATGAACTGGCAAGAAGCGTTTGATCAAATTTGAAAAAGTAAACACGAAATCATTAGTTACAGATCTATTAATTCAATTGTGTGGTGTTTCTAATTGTCCTCCAGGTGTCCTTTACTCCCAATGGCATGGACATGAGGATGCTGCAGCCCTGTGATGCTCCTCTCAGGAGGCACTTCCTGCCTGGGGTGAAGGTGGAGTACAGCGTATCGCCACGACAGAGTGCCTACCGTGTCCAAATCCACCGCATTCAGGTGAAAAGAAGTCAAATATACACAAATTCCTCAAAGATCCAGTATATCTATGTCTGTGTTGCAGTATTAAAAGTCACCCAATTTCCTTCCTCAGCATTTGTCCATGAATGCCACTTGAGTCCTTAGTTCACTTTCTTCTGTTTACTAGCTTTAGGTATACATGCTTTCTATCTACAGATCCAGAATCAGCTGCCAGGAGCCATCTTCCCCTATGTGTTTTACCCTGTAAAACTGCCAAAATCTATCACCATGGATGCAGGTCTGTTAATCCACTCTGTGTGTCATGTTTAAGTCAACATTATTTTCGGTTTATATGTCGTGTTTCATTCTGGAATACGATTTTTTTTTTTTTTTTCTTGTTCCTACAGAACCCAAACCTCTAACTGACATCAGCATCGTCACCAGAACAGCAGGACACTCCGACATCTCTCGCATCAAGTAACTGTTTTTCTTTTGATTCTTCTCTCACTTTACTGTCACTTCCTCCAGTGCCCCACCACTGTTTTTGTTAGTTGTAATGCGCTGTACTGTATTTGTGCTCTGTTGTCCATCTGGTAATTGATTGTAATGTATACTTTGTTTCTGATATAATCCCTGCAATCATATTGCCCTGAAAACCATTTTATATTTAAAATCCTTTAAAATGTAGCCACATTCCTGTATATGTTCAACAGTACTCTGAGTTTTCCTGCAAAGTGGTCACGGGAGTGTCTGTCTTCCTCAGGTACTTTAAGGTGTTGATTCAAGAGATGGACCTGAAGCTCGATCTGGGCTTCCTGTACGCCATCCTGGAGCTGTTCACACCTGAGAATGCCAGCATCATGAGCTCAGAACAGGAGGTCAGATACTCGCGTATCCAAACACGGTTACTGTGACATACCCTGTGATTTGTTCATAATCTGTGGTACTTAATATAATCTTGATCGACTTGAGGAGTCGTCCATTCTGACTTTTGTGCTTCTGTGGCTGTTTCTTCAGGTGGAACTGTTTGAGAAGGACATAGAATACATAAAGACAGAACTAAACCATGCCTCTGCTGCTGACACCTCTCCTATCAGCCTCTATGAGTACTTCCACATTTCCCCCATCAAGGTTCGTACACTACAGTGTGTATTTAGGTAATGTTATATCAATGAAATGATGAACAAATACTAAGCATCACATTTCTTAATTATGTCCAACATCTCTGCAACAACAACACAAGTGCTGAAAATCAACGTGTTTAGTGTTGAAAAGGAAAAAAACATGAATAAATCAGCATCAGAATCTAGACGCAGCTGCAAAGCACATTTCTGTTGTGAGTTTTAACACCACAAACAGCCACGCTCAGTCATGTTGTTTTATGTTGCAGCTTCATCTGAGTTTCTCTCTGAGTACGGGAGGAGACGACGGCCTGAAGGAGAAGCGAGATAAAGAACTCATTCCCGTCCAGTCCCTCAACCTGCTGCTGAAGAGCATCGGCGCCACGCTCACTGATGTGCAGGATGTCGTCTTTAAGTACGAACGCATGTGACGGCCCAGATAGACGACGCATAAATCACACACAGTAGCATTCATTTCTTATTGGGTAAATCCCTGCTACCTCACCGATCCTGTCCTTGGTTTCAGGCTGGCCTACTTCGAGTTGACCTTCCAGTTTTGTACCACCCAGCAGCTCCAATGGCAGGTCATCAGGCATTATTCCAAGCAGGTAACGTGCACAATGGCAAAGCCACGGTTACTCAGAAACTGCGGAAGATTGTTCATGTGTAATTCATATTTACTTTTATTTCAGGCTATCAAACAGATGTATGTGCTGGTGCTGGGCCTGGATGTGCTTGGAAATCCTTATGGACTGATTAGAGGACTGTCGGAGGGAGTGGAAGCATTCTTCTATGAGCCTTATCAGGTAGGAATGTAATAAAAGTACTGATGAGTGCTAACAATCAATCAATGGTGTGGCATTAAAAAACAACAACATTGCGCTCATTATTTAGGGTGAACATTTACATCATACTCTATCTTGAGTATGAATTTATTGTAGGACTCCAGAGATTGTGAATAGCTATTAAAAACCAATGGAATATTCAAGATGTGTTATGTGGAGACATATCAGCACTAGGTTGACGTGTGCCTGCCTAAAGCCCCAACAGTACAGACGGTACAGAGTGTCTTTATGTCTTCTTCCTGTTGAACTGTTATCTGTTGTGTCCCAGGGAGCCATCCAGGGGCCCGAGGAGTTCGTTGAAGGAATGGCTCTTGGGGTGAAGGCTCTGGTGGGAGGAGCTGTCGGTAAGTACAGGGCTTAAAATACTATCTTTAAAAAAAGATGTCAGATCCCGTGAGGAGAAACGTGACTAATATCTCTGTGGCATACAAATACATTAACACGTTATTGCTCCTTTTAACGATAAATGCCATATTCATAACATTGTTATTCCAGCAAATATAAGGCCTGAATCTCATACAACTAGATCTACATTCAAAAGTAAACCCTTTTCTGATGATTAGTTATTGTGTGTGTCTGCAGGATGTCTTTTTGGAGGGTGGGTGGTGTTTCAGTGTTTGTTCTTTTCTCTTTTGTGTTTTATTTAATAAGCACATCCAGTTTTCTTGTAATGAAATGCGCTACACAAATTTAAATTACCTTTTGCCTGCCGTATGGACAGAAGATGAAGCGGCAGAGAAGAGCACGGGTTCTCTCACCAAAGACTTTAAAGAAGAAAAAGGAGATATTAAAGAATGAAGTAACTTTACAGTCTCGTATGTGCCATCCAGGGGGTATAGCAGGTGCCGCCTCTAGGATCACAGGAGCCATGGCGAAGGGTGTTGCTGCCATAACGATGGACGAGGAATTCCAGCAGAAGAGACGAGAGACGATGAACAAGCAACCCACCAGCCTGAGAGAGGGGCTGACCAGGGGCGGAAAGGGATTAGTGTCTGTACGTACTCAAACTTGTGTTAATTAGCAGAAAATATACCTTTTGACACATGTTTTTAAGTGCACGAATTTAAAGTAATTACCTTTCTGTTGCAATTGTCATTTAATAGATTAACCAGAAATAATAATAATGTAGCTTTGCCACTGGCCTGAAAGAGGGTCTGCCAACAGGAAGTCTGCCGTAATGACTGAATGAATTGCTGCTACTTGTTAATATTGTTGCATTCTCTTTTCAGGGTTTTGTCAGTGGGATCACAGGGATTGTTACCAAACCTATTAAAGGTATGCTGATTTGGACCCTCATACAGATTTAAGTGATAACGTTTGGCACATGCTGATACGAAATATGAAAGGCCGAAATAGTGGCATAAAGTCTAAATATTGGTACTATATAACTGTGCATTCTGTCACGTTTGTGGAACAGCGTACCAGCTCTGGTTTTTATCGGTTTTCACAAATGTGATGATGCGTTGTTTCTTTTGCAGGAGCCCAGAAGGAGGGTGCAGCAGGCTTTTTTAAAGGTATTGGGAAAGGTCTGGTTGGCGCAGTAGCCAGACCTACAGGAGGCATTATTGACATGGCCAGCAGTACTTTCCAAGGGATCAAGAGGTTTGTGCCACACATGTGTTTACAGCACCAGTGTGTATTTGTTAGAGCAAACAATTAATGTGGATCTGTGGTGGAATCACAGAGGTGTTAAACACCAAAAGTATTTAAACTTGCAAAGTGTAAGTAAGAAGTAGAGTAGCACAGTGGTTGTTATTAGAGCTGGTCACTGGGTCATGGAAGAAGCTCTTTAGGTCTGTGTACTCGTGTACTTGTGGATGTTTGAGTGCCACAGCCGTACTCTGTGTGTGTGTGTGTGTGTGTGTGTGTGTGTGTGTGTGTGTGTGTGT